AACTTCAACATAAAAAAAAAAAAAAAAATCTAATATATGTTACAGAAGAAATATATAAGACGACATGTATATGGAAGAGAGGAGGAAGAGGGGTGGAAGATGGATCGGTTTTCGCCAGACGTTACGAGCTCATTTGCAATCCTCAGACTCAAGGTCCTGCCACTTTCACTTGTTTACTTTCTCGCATTCAAAGCATGCATGAAAGGAATTGCGAAAATGGGGCACACAGTGTAATTTATGTTTTAAAATAGCCGATCCTTGAAAGAAAAAAGTCAATAATTATATTTATTCATTTAGGTGTTAACAACATATTTTCATTTGTTTATGTTGTTAAAAATATTTTTTATTGATGAAGGTACATTACATCAAACTGTTTCGGAGTTGTAATAGCTAATAAACCGATGGTCATAGGCGCAGACATTCGAGTTTTATTGGGTGTGCGATGGGCAAAAAAAAATGGCGGAGGTTTTTATTGTGTATATAAATTCAAGGTAATAATTGCGAAACGATCAAATATAATATTGAATATATAACATTAATATGGTTTTTATAGTTGTAAGGATTTTTTATTTATTTCGTTTGATTTATTATATATACTTAAAAATACAATTGAATATAGAACATAGTTCTTTAGATTAAACACAAGCAAGAGAGGATACAGCATTCTTAACATCGGGACATTTCTATAACTTTTTCATATAAAAATTAATAATGTAAAAAAGTGAAAAACATCATTCATTTCTTCAACGGAAAATGTAATGAGAATATCACGTGAAAATTGAGACGTGATCGAATCATAAAATCCTAGAGTATTTTGATATATATTATTATCTTTGAATATAAATAACAATTTAAATAAAAGTAACATTTAGGTATCAATAAAATAGTTACATACTTACTTCTAGGCCCTAGATTAGCCAGATAGTTAACTTATTCAACTTTTTGAATAGGTTTTAGTTTAAACATTTTATTCTGTTATGTAGCTTATTTATTACTGATTTTAATGCTTTTTTACCTCAAATTATATGAAACAATATTCCAGACTCCTCAAAATTTTTATTGGGGTCTGACTTTTTCTGACTGTAGTCAGACCTTTCAGTCAAAAAATTTGTACGCAGGTTTCCAACTTTTTGACCCAAGCAACCAAGAGTCATCATCAGGACTAAAAATTAAAAATGTTATTACTAACATAAGATAAAGAGAAATACATTAATAAGAAAAGAGAATAACATAAAAAGTACATATCAATTAAAAAAATAAATACCTCAAATTCTACAAAATGTTGCTCTATTCGCTGTTCGCTACCACATCTGCAAAATCCTCCCCCGACCCTCTCACCTACCTACCTAGGTACCAGTACTTAAACACTTTCAATACTGAAGACATGGTAAGTAACATTAAATATTACATTTGTTTAATTTATTATGTATATTATTTTATAGTTTGCATAGCTTTTCCATTTGTCTATCTGAACATATATTCACGTCATTCAACATTAGTTATTATTTTATATTATTATTGGTTATAGGATTTTAACATTTCTAAAGCGGGTCACCATTCACCGGGGGGAGAGGGGAAGGTGGTCCAAATTTGTTGTAACAATTATTAATTTTACATAATGGTAATCTGGTGCAAATGTTAATCAGTTACATAGTATTCAGCTGAAATAGGATAAATAATTGAGTTCTAAAGACGTATACGGAAGAGAATAATTTGATGTTATATTTGACGTTATCTGTAACTAATAAATGAACTATTTACAAAGTCCTCATTAAACCACTTTGGACATAAGGAATCAAACTATGGGGAACAGCAAAGACATCAAATATAAAAATCATCCAGTCATTTCAGTCAAAAGTCCTTCGGAAAATTGTAGACGCACCCTTTTATGATTCAAACCTTACATTACACAATGACCTTTCAATGACTCCTTTCATCGCGGAAACTGTCACAGACTGTTTTAATAACTTTCATGACAGACTGACTGTAAATTCCAATCCACTTACTCAAGCTCTATCCACTGCCACAAATCCAAATAATCCGCCCAGAATACTTCTGAGGCGCTGGCCAAGGGACTTATTGCATTGAGCTACTTGCTGTATTATCTTTTTTGAGTGTTATTATGTTATCGTATTTTCATTTTACTACTTTTTTTTATTACTATACGTTATTGTTTTTTTCTATCATTTATTCTTTTTGATATCATATTTGCTGAATGCCGAAGTAGATAGCAAATTTATTGTGAGTCAGAAATATGTGTAACTAATAAATAAAATAAATGAAAAATATTTGATGTATAATTTATGACTTCAATAATAACACATTTTTTAAAACTTGTATGATTTGTGCCAGTAGTTTCTAATCAATCCAGCAGCTCTTTTTCAAAAAGCTATAAGATTGATTGAAGATTACAACATTTTGGTAAAGTAACAAATTAAGTTAATTTGCTGATGTCCAATATTTTAAATTTTCCTTATCAATATATTTCTTTAATAACGATACCTTATTAAAGAAAAATCACTTGAGGGTTATTTTTTAAGCCGAAACAATGGTTGTCGAGTTCAACAACAAATGATCAAAAATGCGAATTTCCCTAAGCAGTTTTCTATAACGAGTTCTCAACAATTATTAGGTATTTCACATTATAAAATTTAGAAAAATAATACAAAAATCATATCCTGGTTAAACAGCTAAATGGGCGTCGAAAACCGTATATTCTCCTTTCATTTTCCTGACTTTCCCTAGATGATTGTCGTGCATACCTCCTAAAAATCGGGACTGTATTAAAACGCCGCGGAAAGCGAGAAGAATTGTTAAAAAGCGGGACTTATGGTTACTTTGCTCAAACATCACTATTTATCATTACTAACTATTATCTATTATAATATTTTTTTTTAGCTCTGACGATAAACCTACGAGCTAGGTTTGAAACGTTGGCTATAAAGTTCTTTAAAAACTGACTATCGATCACTAATGCTAAATGTTATTTAGAAAAAAATAAAATTAGACTATTCGTTGTAGAATTAAGGCTCAAGGTTTTATTATTAAGCATATCTCTATTTATTTAATGATTTATGTAATATGGAAAAAAAAATAGTAATTTGTTTTGGAGGCGATATGGACGAACTCGGCCCGCTGCTCCCAGCGGTACCTGTCGGAAGAGCCAGTAAACAGCCTAATCTTCGGCATGGCCCTAATATTATTCTTTTTATATTTTATTTAATCTTGCATTAATATTTGAAAATTGATATAAAATTAAATATATTTTTATAAAAAAATTATCAATATCCTATTTTGTATTGCTTTTTTTCCGATATATTGATATTATAAAAAAATTATAAATTAAAAATATTATTAAGTAAATATATCTTCAAGAAGGCCTCAATAGTTGTATTTCGGATGAGAGTATTTCTAAAACAGAATACTTACAAAATATTGATTAAGTTAATTGTTTTTATATTTAAAAAAAAAAATAGCATTTTTGTCTTGTGATTTATAATCAAAATGTTAACGACTCTTAATGGTTCAAGTATTATTATTATTACTTTTATCCAGACATCGCCAAACGCTACTCTTTGTACCGAGTACCAAGTATTTTACTCAAATTGAATCACTTTTGGGAATTGTCTGACTTCAACTGAAGTAGTAATTAAATTCTTTCTCAAAAAAGTTCAGTACTTGAGTAAAATACTTGGTACTAGCATTTGCCAATCTGTGGTTTTATCTTGAGCAATTTAATTCATCTTTATCTAATTATTAATAATACACTTTTCTAACAATAAGTGTTAATACTTTTTTAGGTTTTTAATAATCCAATTAATTTTTTCAAGTTTTATTTCTTTACCCATTTTATTTTGGGTCAATATAATTATTTTTAGCTTTAACTAGCCTACACATGAAAGTATAATAAGAGAAAATAATTGCAATCATGAAAAAAATCAAATCAAATTTTCAACAGAAAAAGAACGTTTTAAGGTCCCTTGAATTGAAATGTTCAGGTTTCGTCAAATGGATTGAAATTGTTGAAAATACATTCCCAGGTTGATATGCCAAAAGTAATTATTGCAAGTTTATGTTTAGAGTAAAGGTAATATTCATAAATTTTATTTGTTTCTGTATAATTAATTTGTACGTCCTAAAGTAGAGTATTTGGGGTACATGAAACCATAATGGTAAATAAATTTTACGCGAAACAGCCCTGAAGGACTACGCGACTGGATTCTTTTTTTATTACTTTATATATATATATATATTTGTTGCTTTTAGGTTATTACAAATCTAAAAATTAATGCAAATCCTCTTTCCATTTCTTTAAAAAATATAAATATTGAGGTCAGAAATGTCAATATTTTTTTACCGACATTTCGATCAATCGCATAATACCAGTAATGGGCCTGAGTGAGAGGCGCTAGGATCTCATTGAGTCTTGACTTTTCTTCCACGAATGGGAGGAAAAGCTTGTCTCGGAATTATCCTGAACAAATGAATTTTCTAAATATTTTTAAAAATTATATTTGTATTTAAGTTATTATTCTGATGAGTTTACTTTCTTTTAATTTATATACATGTACTTATAGTATTATTATTTTGATGTTAGAATGTATTTTTATTTGTTGTACATAGAATGTGGATGAGTTATTCCATCACTATTGCTAGAATCCTTGAATGTGACAGAATGTATTATTATTCAATAATGAAATTTATCTATAAAAAAATTGATATATCTGAAAACTTTCGATATAATATTTTAGTTTGCTATTTACAACTCCAATCTTGTAAAAGTTCAATAATATCGAATTCCGTAATATAGTAACATCAATATTTTTTCCTATTTATCATATATCTATTTAAATATATTTTAAAACGATCAATACTTTATACATCCATTTTTTTTTCGTTGATATTATTACAGTGATAAATAAAAGAAGAAAAACAAAAGAAAATTCTAAAGAATATGATCTCATCGCCACTAGCTGGACTATCCTAGACAACTATCTGCACTAGCCAGAGCCGTTCAGACAAGAACCGACACGGCCAGACACAGACAGACACCGACAGACAAGAGACAGAGACGCGGAGCCGGGCCGGAGAGGTCTCGCTATTTCGGAGTGCGGCAGGTCAGGAACCAGACGGAGAGGACACTCACCCCGCCCTACTCTACTTTGTTTTTCAGCCTCCTTTTTCTCCTTCTTCTTTTTATTTTCTCCTTCTTCTTTCTCTTTTCGTCCTTCGCTTATTCCTGTCTTCGCAGCCTGTTGGATAATTAGCGAGGACTCAATGGGTCTTTCCCTCCTAGCGTAGAGTCCTCTCGACACCTGTTAGCGTACTACGGTTAATAATGAACAGTGTAGTGCAAATATAGAAACCGTTTTCTCTTTAGACAACTAATTAGAAATTTATAAAACGCGAAAAATAAATACCTTTTCTTTTAATTTTCATTTCCAAAATTAATGTATTTAGAAACAATTGAGTATCTTATTTTGATCAAGACAAAAAGGAACATATTTGGTTCAGTATATATTCAAAAATGTGGGCAGACTCTACTGACCTACTGGTCTCGATTAATATTACCAAGACTAATGAGAAATATTTCATGAATATAACAATGTGGTCCTTATTTTATGTTAATTGTGATAGATATATACAATCTAAGTTTATTTTTTGGATCCTCCCTCTCCTTTCTCGCCTTTTAGGCTATACGGGGGTTTTCCGGGCCAGCTGTGTGTGCGGGATTTAAACGATTCTTCTGGCATCGGTACGGGAACTCTTGACTATTTCAAATCCATTGTCTCATATATCAGGTTGCCGATGCATACACGTTAGCCAGTTCGGCCACCCCACCCACACAATCTAAATTTATACACGCGCACACATATATGATATGTATGTATGTATATATACAGCAGTGGCCATCCCCTCCCCTTTCCCCCAAAGCCGATGGTGCACAAACATTCCCCCACCCATCCCAAGATATTTTATTCCTCTCTTCTTCTTAAAAATAGTGCAAACAAAATTGGCCTGTGCAAAATGTGGCAACTACAGACCTATATGCCTATCTCAAATGACCTACACTATGTACACCAATATATTAGAAAACAGTTTAAGGCCACTGATAGAACCAGAATTAGAAGATCAGACTGGTTTCCGACCAGAGACTCAAATGCAAGACTACATATTTGCTCTCAGAAATATTGTAGAAAAGACATCGGATAGAAATCGAAGTATATATATCGCTTTCTTAGACTTAATAGCTGCCTTCGACTCGGCACCACGATCTGAAATATGGAGAGCACTTATAAGAAAGGATATTCTCGAGTTTTTAATAAATAAATACTTTATTTATTAATTGTATTTAAAGTGTTTCCACACACATTATTAGACACGCGAACAAAAGTTGTGTGTCAAGAATATGATAAAAACTACTTTTTTTGAAAATTACAACATTTCATGAAACATTTTAAAATATCTGTAACTGTAGACTGATTGGAAATTAATTTGTATATGTATATATATTCTAACAGGGAATTTAAGTCTCTACAAATTATTTTAAATTAATTTCTTTCTCTAATGAACATCTTAGACGACATGAATGCAATGAAGAATATCAAATAATTGAGGCAAAATGATTTTTTTTTTTAAATATTATCTTGCGTGTGGCTCGAAAACGGTTTAGAATTCAGATAAAACCTGCAGAATAAAATTTATAGATGATTTTATAAAATTTAATTTACTATACGTAAAATTTCCCCCCGCAATGCACTGTTTTCGAGATATAAGCGAAAAAACAAAAACTGTGACATTTCTCCCCCCCCCCCTTTTCTTCTTTCTGGCTAACCACCTAGACTTCAATACTTAAGATATATTCATACCCTAAGCATCCTAACAAGTTTCTGAAGGAATCGCTTAGGTTCCTGCACACGCACTCTATAACTTCTTTATTGGCTGGACTGCAGGTATTATTGTTGAAAAATTTAATGAAAACAAAATTTGTTGGAAATATAGTATAATACGATCTTGTATTTTATTTATTTTATAATACCATTTTCAACTGTGTTGTGATGCATCTAACAAATATCTAACAATCTAACACAATCGGTTAAGCATGAGATTTCTCGGGCACTTTCTTTTTATCCTGCGTTTAACAGGGAAGAGGAAAGTGATAGAACTAGCAGATTGGGGTGATTGTGAGTTGAAGCTTGAGATGTAGCGTATTTGTGATGAAAGCAAGATTTTACTCTTAGAATGTTCTTTTGTTTATCAGACAATTTGAAATTATTAGTTTTTGGAAGAATTTATTATTGTGTAAATACTCCGTATTTTCAAATTGTTATGAAATCAAATGGAAATTGTTTTTATTTAGGCCAGGTGTAATCTTTTGATTTTGTTCTATTTTGTTATTCCCAAGGAACATTAATAAAGAAAGAAATAATAAGGTTATTTTCTATCTATCTATCTAAAATAAAGTATCATTATTCTGCGATTTTTGTCCCTTTAGTACAAATTGTAAATATAGAATAAATAAGACATGCCAGTATGGCCTTACATTAAATTGAATATTTACAAAAGAAGAGGTAGTAGTTGCATAATGGTATCAGTATAAAGTTAATTAAACTAAAATTAGCCATTTGTTTTGTATGATATTTGAGGATCTTTGGTTCGTAAGTAGTATTGCTTAAAATGCATTTTGGTCTTGCCCTTTCAGGACCAAGACCAAGACCACCAAATTGCTGCATGACCAAGACCAAGATTGGTCAAAAAAAAAAAGAAAGAAGCGTTCTTGAGAATAAAAATTAAGGCAAAATAGTTAATAATACTATACAATTTTAGTTACTAAATATAAAGAATAGGTAGAATAAATATACTTTTGCATTTATTTCTTCCAATTTTTCATTTGGGATTCAGTTAGGTTTTCCCATCCTGAAAAATGACAGTAATATCTCTGTGGCATGTATTGGTAACATTTTTTAAAAGGTTATTAAATTTCCGACTATTTTTAAAAAAAATCGTCTAAATCGAACCAGTTTTAGCAACGTTAAATGTTAAAAGTTTAAAAGTTTTAGCAATGTCAATTCTTGCCTTTTTAATTTTTGTGTGTATATTCCAAGTCGATCTTTTGTCCAAGTATATTCAGAGATACTGTGCATGTATTTTTTTTTTTTTTTTTTTAAGAAATACGTCGTTGTCGATAGCTAAAAGTGGTGGACACTAAGTTTTCTTTAGAGAAAACTACACCAGACTTTGATTTGGTGACAATCATTTTATGTTTCCAATCATAAAACTACTTTTGAAGTATTTTTGTTGACCAAGTCTGACTGTATTTTTCTGAATGTTGATTTTATAGAAGCAAGACCAGTTTACTACATATCAAGTAAGCAAATCAAAATAATATTAAAGGAATAATGTGTTAAAGGGCCATCGTTTTCCAATTCTCAGTACTGTCTTTGGTTCAAATCTTCCCTGGAGAGTTACTTTTTACTTTTTTGTTGATCATAGTATCAATATTCCTGCCTTCCCCTTCTTTGAAGAAAATATTCGTGTTCCATATACGTGACGGACTTTTTTAAATTCAATAATCCATTCTTTATTTATATAAAATAATTATATATTTTAAGTTTTTGTTAAAGCATTTTATTCGGGATATCAAGTAATATATGATTGCAAATTTAGGTTATGCTATGTATACTTAAAGGGTTATTTTTTTTTTGTTTTGTTTTTATGGAATATTTTAATAATAGCGAAAGAGCTCTTAACTTTATAAAATTCCGTCGCTAGAGTATAATATCGTTAGACAGGTAACAAGCCTCTCCAATCATCTCCTCTCACCTGCCTAGTTCTCATTTTCTTAATTAAAACCCTAGACTTTAAACAAGACACTCAATTTCTTTAAATAATATTACAAGAAATGCCATCATTATACAAAACAATAATGTGTTATTTTTTTATACAAAATATTATTGGTATTTGTTAGTGGTTATATATTAGTATTATTTGTTAGTGTAGTTATCACAAAAAAATAAATAATTTTTTGACGATTTCACATCGCTATACAGGGTATCCCTTAAACCTCAAGAGCTACAAAAATGTTCTGATAAACAATGGTTGGGCCATGGTTATATCCTATATAAAAGTTTCACTGTAGCACTTACTTCTAAAATACAAATTCCAATTCTCAACCAGTTTTTTTTCTTATTTCGTTGGGTATTTCGTGACTGAAAGGAAAAGAAAAATTAAAAACTGGGAGAACAAAGCCACTCAAACACCTGGCGTTCTTTTCTAATTGTTCCATACACCGCCTCTTTTCATCCAGCGTTTAGAATTAATCACAAACTGCTTCTGTTCGGAAAAAAAAAAAAAAAACCTGTGCTGATACAGGGCGATTGGCTTTTTAAACTCAAACTTTTAGTCTAAAAAAATATTGACCCTGAAGTGAAAAAAAAAAAATAGCGTTCTATTCCAGGTTCCAGTTCCAAAGCTTAAGTTCAAGAATATTTTACCGCAACCTTTAAAAAAGGGTTATTTATCAACTAACTATATCACTATTACGGGTTAAAATGAAAAATATAATATAATAATCGAAAAACTTAATTAATAAATACAAATTAAATCATATGTACATTTAAGTATATAAGGTTTAATGATACACTGCTGGAATCATATAGATTTAAATTTTATTTTCATATTGAAAATTTCCTATGGAATTCCTATTCTTCAGAAGTGGTACATACAAAATTATTTCTATTGATTAAATCATATTATAATTATTAATTTCCAATCATAAATATATGTATAATGGATACATTAATAACCGTATTTTCAAAATTAATTACTTCACAAATTCCAATATGCAATAATATGGAAATAAATTAACGTAATCTATCAGGAGAAGGGTGATTAATTTCCATTCGAAGTAATAGATTAAAACATGTGTACAACTTAAAATAGGCTAAAGTGGTCGATTTGAAATATTTGATTTAATTTTTGTTTTTATTCCATAGAGGATTCCCAAACCTTTCTAATTATCATAGCTACAATCAGCCTCGGAGTTCATACTTTTTGAGTTATGTGTAAATAAAATTTCTTTTCTTCATAACTTTTGCTGACGTTTCTAGAGTATATGCTCATTTTTTTCACCTAAAGGAGAAGATGATTTTCGAAATAATTGTTAAGTAACCCAATAAAAGATAAAAATTACAATTAAAAAAAAAAGGAAAAACATACAAAATAACCTTTTCTTTGACACTTCTTTAGCTTAAGTTGTCATTGTGCAATGTGAAGTACTTTCCCAGAGCGCAACGGTTTTGAAGTTTTAATATTAAAATTTTCATTTTATTCCTGAAAGCAGGATGTTTGCAGTTTTCTGGGAAAAATGTGCAGAAACGAACTGCATCAACTTGCAAAAGAGTACGTGAATAGGGGCAATTTAGATGCAAAGCCCTCCACCTACAGCTTTCACAACAATAATTCCCTGTCCTTTTTTTCATTTTTATGTATGTTTAATGTTTTATTGCACTTTTGTGAATATTTAACTTGTTATGATGCTCGATTGAAGGACGTCGTTTAAATATATTTAAATATGCAACCTAAATGACAATCGAGGTTGTAGCTAAAACATTCATGAGTTGATGAAGGCATAGGCGCAATCTCCGAAGGTTTCAAATTTATGGAATGATTTGTTTCTGTTAACTCCAAATTATTTTAAAACATTCACGAGATCTTACTGCATAATTTGAGCCCTTAAACGTAAAAATCGACCCAACAAACACAACACTCCGAGTAGCTTTGCCATATCCAGAAAAAAAAAACTTAAAATAAAAAAATAATATGAATAATCAAGTATCAGTTATAATGAGGAACTGGTTATTTAAAAATGACCAGCGAACCCTAGTTCCTTTCCTACATATCAAACCAACGGGGTGCCAACTGACCTATCTCAATTCTCTTCCTTATCTTTCTCTTATTGTTTATATGACTTGAGTGGTGATAACGTTGTGTTTCTTGTTAATTAATCTACTGAAACTTGTCATGCAGACAATTGGGAACTGGGTGTTTGATAATTTTAAATACATGTGATATAAATTTAAAAAAAAAAACTTTGCTAAGTAGAGACTGTATTGCTTCCTCGTCATTTCTATTCTTTGCGAAATTACCAACATCTGACAATAGATAGAGAATTGAGAAATCGTTTTTGAAATGTTATCTTGTCAAGAAAAAACATTTCCTTAAGCCAGGGGTATCCAAACTTCGGCCCGCGGGAAGGATTCACCAGGAAAGCACCTTCAGTCCGGCTTGCGAAAATATCTGATTACATGGTAAAATTTTAAAAACTATTTACAAAATATGAAATTTTACAAATTACTGACACACGGTGTTACTACAACATTTATTGCATGGTTTTTTTTCTCTCTGAAAAACCTCATTTCACAGATAAAGTTATATAACATGATATTTTTCAACATAAATCATGGCATGCGGGACTTAGACAACGGCTCAAAGTGGCCCGTGGGCCAAATAGTTTGTAAATTCCTGCCTTAAACAAACGGAGTAGACGCAATTTGATAAAATATCGAACCATCTATTTACTCTCACAATATTTGAAAATTTGAAAATGGTAGTAAGTATTATTAATTAAATAATTGTTAACCTAAATAAAAACTTAAATCCAAAATATTTATTAAAATTGAGGATTTATTTTGTACAGGTTCACTTAATTTTTTTTACAGTAATAGAATGCGATAATACATTTTTTTTTTCATTATATGGATCTATTTTATTAAATCAAAACATATTTTAATAAATTATTTATATCAGAAAGAAATATTTTTGTGTACTGGGTAGAGTGCATTGAACTGGAAAAAAAAAAAAAAAAAAGAAACACTATAAAAGAAAGGATGGAAAATTATAGTTTTTATTTCTACAATACTTATGGATATTATTTTTCATTAAAACAAATCGCGGTTATATTGGTTACATAAATATCTGTATTTTAAGATATATGAGATGATGATTTTCAATGTGTAAGCTTGTCTATTTGAAAGAAATATTCATAATTTGGTGAAATATATATTAGACCACGGTAATAACAGTCGTACCTCTCCAAAAATTTCATCAAATCGAATTATCTACAGTAGATGGCTTCGACTGCAGAATACAGTTGCAATAAAAATTTCAAATACATTTTAAAATATTATAACCGCATATAACAATAGCATAAATAAAAGCTCAAGTTAGTAAGCTATTCCACAATCGTTTTTTGATTAATACAACACTCTGTCACACAGACAATAGTTATAGGGAGATAACACTACAAATACACAAAATATGAAATACACAGAAGAAAAATAACAAGTAAATAATAATCAAAGAGTATATACAATGAATAAAAGTAAAACAACTTAAATATAACCGCATCTTACCTACCTTCCAGTTAAGAGTTGGGTCACTGGAGTAGCCGGGATACCTGCCTTCCCGTTCGGAGTTTGTTCACTGGAGCAGCCGGGATACCTGCCTTCCCGTTAGGAGTTGGGTCACTGGTGCGGCCGGGATACCTACCTTACCTTTACGAGTTTGGTCACTGGTGCGGCCAGGATAACTAACATAATTTGAGGAGTGGGGTCACTGGTGCTTCAACTAGAAGTTTCCGGAATATCCTTGTCGTAGAAGATATCGTCCGCAAAGGCAGGTATCCCGTCCGACTAAGCGACCTAACTCCAAACGGAAAGGCGGGTATCTCTTCGGCACCAGTTATAAATATTTTTCTCTTCGAATTTTCACCAAGGCCTTGGGTTTTTCAAAAATTAATAACCACAGATTTTGACGAATGGAGCATCAAATGAAATGGTATTTGATAATGTCGTGAAGAGCAATAGTCACATCTTCCCAAAAAATCAGTGCAAAAGTTATATCAGAAGCAGAAAGAATTAAAAAGCAGAAAAAAAGCAATAAAAAATAAAACTGCTTTGCTTCGAATTTTCACAAAGGTCATGGATTTCTTTCAGAAATCTCAAAAAAAAAATCAGAACCATAAATTTTTAAGGGCCTCCTTTTTCAATTTAACACATTGAAATTGAAAAAAATATTCAGTTATGCAGATATAATCTCCATTTAAAAAAAATACCTTTTTGACAGCCCGAAATTCAATTGTTCTAGTAATGGACGGTCGGTACAAGTAATGGACATACCTAAAAAAAAATCTAAAACATTTGTTTAATTTTAAATGTAACGAAAAAGATAAGATAAATGTTTAACTTCCTCTTACCAAAACTGTTAGTATGAAGGGATGAAACACACTGAGCTCAAGAGCACTATAGAAATAACAATGATAGGCATTTTAAAATTTAGGAACAATAGAGGGCATTGTTCTTCAATCTAGAAAAAAACTGCAACCTTTAAATCAACAAGGAAGCTTCTTAACATTTAGAGTCCAACCTGTCCATCACTGGGCCCTTTGTACATAACTGGTGTGTTCACTCTAATTGGTTATAGTGCCAAACAGTATCAAAGACTTATCTATTTCGAATAAGATAACAAAACAATATTTTTATTTCTCACCTTTTTATTATATATATATATATATATATATACTATATAAGACTAAATATGCTAATAATTAAGAGCAAGGCCTCGGATTAGGCCAGGATTTCCTTTAGCGGCGCGCAGTGCTGACCATACTTTCGGGCTGCGGAGGAAATCCAGGTTGGTCCGACCGGAACCTTTCCGCTGCACTTGCTCTGTTGTCTCGCTTTCTAGCCGCGGGCCTCTCGGCGCTCTTCATTCCTGGCGGTCTGTCGGCCGAGTTTCAGTTCACGATCTTGTCTTGGTCTTGGATAACCAGATGTCAGGCTTCGGTTCAGACAGCTCTCCGGCAGCTGCTAGCATATTTAGGATAACTAGGATTAATTTTAAAGTCTTTAAGTTCTGAGTTCAAGTAACAGTCTTTTATTCATTCATGATAATGTACACATTCTAATAAGCAAAACGTGAAACCAGAGATTTATTTGTTTTGGCATTTGTATGTTCCCCTACAGGCATGTAAGGTGATACCTCCTCTTCCAGCTATTCCTATCATAAAAAAAAAATCAAGTGTGTCCACTCACACGACTTTCCTACCTACTTCTGAAAAGTTTTTATGTCTTTACATATGTTCATGAAGAAACAAAAAAAAAAATTGAACTAGATTTATCTTCCTGAAAATTGATCAAAGGAAAGATTTGAATATGATTTGATAAACTAAACCAATGTAAACCGGGTTAAGGTAGATCAGTGTAAAAATTTCAATACTCTCTGATATTTCTGAACAAAAACTTTTGGCTATAGCTCGGTTATCGTTACTAAGTTATCGCTTAGTATAGTCAAACAATAATTTCTGTTAAAAGTAGAGGAAATAGTGAAGCTTGTGTGATGCGGGCAACAGATTTTCTTACTTTCACTTAGTCATCTTTTTTCTCTCATTCACCCCTTTCTGACACAAGGATATGAACCCGTAATCTTACATTGGAAATTGAATAGCTGTCTGAAATTTCGTTAATAGTGTCCAAAATGAACTATTTTTATATAGTTCTGTAAGAAATTTCATTAGCTTTCAAAAGTATTATTATAAATTTTACCGTATAATATATGCTTAGGGAGTTAGGTTCCATAACATTTTTCTTTTCTTTACAACTTTTTCCCCTGAATTTTCCAGGGAATTTAGTCCATATTCTAAAATTGAAAGGACAATTATTAGAATATTATAGGAAAGTTTCATTAAATTCGTTAGAGCCGTTTTCGCGCTTCAGTCAATAGAAAAACATGTATTTCATTTATTGCGCGCAAGATATTACGCATGGAGCACCGATTTTCTGTCATGGGCATCAGTATTCAAACCCCTAGAAAATGGAAAAAAGAAGCAACAAAATCGGTTCAGTAGTTCAGTAGTCCCCGAGAAAAACTCAGGGGACTCTGAAACGTATAGATCCGTCGAAAACCTCATATCGGAAATTTGACCCGATTGCATTACTTTCCTTAACTAGTTTAGGCAGGAAATTAAAAAAAAACATCAAATCATATTTAAAAGGATATCAGGATTAAGCTTAGATTAAGCTTGCCGACGTTTCGAACCAAGCATATGGGTTGATAAGTATTTATCAGTGACAAACTTAATGTTTCTTACTAAAATTTACATTTAAAATAAAGAAACCAACTGATTCCTACAATTATTTTCACGAAAACGTAAATATTAATGCTAGAAACATTAATTTTGTCACTTATAAATACGCATAAATTTCTATGACAGAAATTTGGGAGAAAAACACAATTACATAACGAATTTACGTGGAAAATCATCCTTTTCAATTTTTTTATTATTATAAATAAAATTCGTTGTAATTTTGTTTATTAAAATATAATCCATATATCGGTAAAACAAGAAATGAAAGCTTTGCAACAGTTAATTTTAGTCAATTTTACAAAAAACAAGTGTACTTTTTGGTGATTAGAGAGAAATTAACATAATTTCTTTACACAACTTGAGGTGAATTTCAAAAGTTTTACTAATAAAGCTCATATGGTATTATTTATTATTATACTAATAATCTTAATTATAATACAAGATAAACATATCTTAATTGTTATATAAAAATTATACTAGGAGCATTAGAAATTATTATTAAAATACATTTAATTTTTTATTGAGTTAAAAAAACGATGGTTCTGAAAATGTTGATGGTTGCTCCAAAATGTAGATAAAAAATTATTGGAATTCTTATAGTCATTAAAAATGTATTTGACCTTTTATAGAAAAGTATACATTTTTTAAAGATTTCAGGTGCTCACTTAAAAAAGTACTTTTCCAAACTAAAAATAAAATAGAAAATAGAAAACATTTTAATTGGGCCAATAATAGAGAATATATAGCAAACATGTTCTGTTAAATAACTATAATAGTTACATTTTGGTTTTCGTTTCTATTTTTTTTTACGATAAGATTTTTTTTTTTAATTCAATGCACCTGAAATTACTTTGAGAACTCATATCGATTCGGCAGATTATTTCGTAATAAAATAAAGAAATAATAATATTTAATTTAATTGATTTTATTTATTATTAAAAAATAAAAAAAATTCTTTCAAAATGTTTCCCGAAACTGCAGCACAATGTTTTCGGCCTTTGGTGTATTTTTGAAGACTGGACTTCCCATGCTGGGCCGAAAGCCAATTCAAGGCCGAAACCGTCCACCTTCGACGCGCCTCCTTCCCGCTACTCTTAATTCACAATTATCCACCCGTTGTTGTTTTGGCCCACCGGTTGGTAGAGGTGAAAGTGCTGTCCAGTTAACTTAATATGCCAATCAGTTATTCTCTCAGAGGAACTGTCTAGGATCCAAACCGCATTCTAGATCTTCATATAGATTTCATACGTCTAGAAATTATTTTGTTAAGAATGAAATTATTTTTTAATCATTAATGCACTTTTCTAACAAGCCAAAAACAATCGTTTAAATTAAAATAAAAAACACAAACAACACAATAAGGAATTCTACGAAAAATTGTCAACGCACTTGGGTACATTTCAAATAACACTGTACATAAAGACTTAAAAAACAGTAAATCCAGACCAGTCATTAACCATAAAACATGTTTTCTAAGAGTGCCCTTTTTACACCGCATGGTAAAATATTTTGGAATACTCCAGAATATACCAGGATCCCTGGGAAATCAAGAAGAAATCGTTACCAAAGTTTTCAAGTTCCTGGATAGTGAAAGACTCAAAAAACATATATGACAAGCTTATAACTAATGATCCTTTGCAGATTTATTATTATTATTTTATTTTATTTTATTTATTTATTTACTTTTTCTTTATTTTTTGCTTTCTTTATTTTTTTAAAAGTTATTTGTTTATTAATTTCAATTCATTTATTGATTTTATTGCTATTTTTTAAAAGTTTATTTATTTTATCTTATTATCTATAAGTGTCTATTATTATCTTTATTTATTTATTTTATTCTATTAATCCTTTAATTTATTTTTTTATCCTTTTTTTTTTCTGTACCAACCATCCAAACAGTATAAAAATAGCGTTATTTAGTTGATCGTGAACTGATGATAGACATCGAAACAAACAAACAAGGCCAAACAGTAAAGTCCTACATCCATGACAAATACACTACATTTCATTCTTCAACTCAAAATCACTTCAATCCAATAGTTCTTTCTATTTCCTGTCCCACCTTACCTGACCGACGCTAATTAAAAAGAAAATGGCCAAGACACCTACTCCAACAATAATAACAAAATGATAGGTAATAAATCAAAATCGAAGTTCGAAGTGTCGAAGAAAAATAACCAAAACATCAAATCTTCTAGAATGTGTATATATTTAACTAAAATCTTACTAGTTTATTGGTACGAATAATTTGCATAGAAGATTCATCAGGAAACAAATGACGAAATAAAATAATTGAATATAATTCGATACAGAAGAATGAATTATTCTTCTTCAGTAATGTGATAAACTATTGGAGTTCTGGCATTGGTCAGATTATCCACTCAAGACATGAGTGTATGTGGCTAAACATTTCTGAATCAATCTCCACTAGCTTTAGTAACAGTGATGCGGTGGAGAGAGTAGAGCAGGGATCTCCTGTATTCCTTCTTTTCCCTCCATAGAAGGAGGAACAAGCCTGCCTCGGAGTTCCCTCGTCTGATTGTAAAAGTGTATAAGGTATGTATGTGTTTTTTGCTTTTTTTAAATTTTCCTTATATTTAAGCTATTTTATTTTATTTATTGCATATACTTTTAGACCATTATTTGCTTGTTATTTTGCTTCTGTTTATTTTATATTTTTTTGTACATATAGTGTGAATGTGATCTTACCTTACTATAACCAATGTCAAAGCGACAGAATGTTGTAATATTCTATAAATAAATAATATAAAAAAATAAACAAAATTGTGATAAACGAGGGAAAATAAAATAACTTGATGAATAATTAATGAAGATATGGCGTACCAACAAAAAACACTGTTTAAAAAATAAACTATAGAGATTAAAATTAGCTAAAAAATAACAATTATTAACCATCCTAAACAAAGAACCCAGAAGACTAATTTTATTCATTACTTTTTTTGGGGGGAGGGGAGGGAGGATGTTTTAAATTATATTTATATTCAGATAGGTAATTTTTCAACTACAAATTTTTCATTTAATTTGGTATTATACATTTTTTTACCTTCTTAATTAGCTGACTCCATCTCTGCCAATCTTGACTATTTCTTTTCAGTCATTTGCATGCACTTTCGTCGTCTTCTGACTACTATTGAGAAATTCATTGTTGTTTAGAGGCTTTCTGATCGATTGCTCCTAGCTTCATATCATTAGATATTGATTGGCCAGTTTCTGTAAACAACTGTTTATTGGATTTTCTCCTCCAATTTACATACCTTAAACATTATGAAACAATACCTTAAAAATATAAATTTTAAATACTTTTTTTTTGAAGGGGGTTTTACATTAAAACTAGGCTCGGGCGCTAATTTCCTCTTCACGACTCTAAATCTTTTTCGCTTTCTACCGGTTTAAAACAAAATGGATAAACTGCTTTAGGGGATATGATAACATATCATAAACGTAACGAAACATCCATATTGCTGTAACTTACATGATTATTCGGTACGGTTTTGATTTTTATTCTTGAAAATTGAATAATTTTGTAAAACATTTAACTGCGCTGATTTTTCTGGACGAAAATATTATAATTTAATTAAAATATTAAAAGAGGATAATAAATTTAA